ATGCCACACCATGCACAACCCAGGCACAGAGAGGAGGGCATCAGACCGAACCGGTAGACCATTTAAGGTACCCAGGCACCCAGCGAACCCCCCCCGGAACACTGTGTGCACCATGAGAAAGCCATCACACCATCCCGTAGAACACCCATACATACTGAACCGCCCCGACTCGGACAGAACACTACAAGGACACTACAGACTCAGAACACCCCATACAACAGCCTACACAACCAGTGGGACCGTCCCCCCAAGGGGTACCCAGCCCTAAGATGCGACTGCGCCGGGGTCCAATTGAAAGGGACCTTGCAAGAGCGGGCACTAGTTCAAGGCCATTGTAGCCTACTTGCAGCATGTGCCACAAGTGTTCACCTGAGGTGGGCCGGCCTCGAACCTGCAACCTGCATTTTACAATGCAGGCGCCCAAACAACCGGGCTGCCTACTTGCAGCATGTGCCACAAGTGTTCACCTGAGGTGGGCCGGCCTCGAACCCGCAACCTGCATTTTACAATGCAGGCGCCCAAACAACTGGGCTCCGAACAGTCGTACTCGCCCCACGTGGCCGGGCCAAAAGGTACATCGTTCTTCTGATCCTGAAACAGACACCACCGCCAGTGGTTTCCGCTAGGCCCACACAGTGAGAGCTCCTGATGAAAGGTTGGAAGGCAAGGAGGGCGGAGAGTGGGGCGACCACTAAACTCAGAATCCGAAAAATGAGGAATGTGTTACAATTCTTTGGACAGAGATTCAAGTGTCATAGGTGCTGCTCCCCACCAGTAGACGGAACCTCCCCGGAGGAGCTAGAGGTGTCTGTGTATCAGCACATCTAGCTCCCATATGGGCTGATTCAGCCTGATTGTGCAAAAAAAAAAAGAACAAAAAAAGGGGCAAGTATGTTGCTGTCACTTTTGAGTATCAATTGAGCAAAAAACCCACGCCCCGGCAAAGAAAACAGGCGCGGAGTTTGAAAAAGCAATGAAGGTACCAACGGCCGTGGCGTCATAACTATAGGGGTCGGCCGTGGTGTCAGGTGGGGAAAGGGAAAAAAAAAGAAAAGAGCTCAACGGGTTCTTTTCTACCCAAATTGCTGTTTCAAACCAACGCCACCCAAATTGTCGTTTCAAACTCACACCACCCAAATTGCCGTTTCAAACTCACACCGTGTGTTGCCTTTACAAACTCAAAACCTGCCGCGTACGCCATTGTTTCAAAAAACAAAAAAGGTGTCATACCTGGCATGCGCTTCTGGATGGCAGGATGAAATGTGAATGCCGAGAACTGGGTGCTTGTTTCAATCTCCACGATGATCTCTAGGAATGCCCGCAATGCTCGATCAGCAAATGAAGATCCGCCACTCTGATATGACCCATAAACACATCGCCAAACATCACAACCACCAGCCCATCTCCTTTCTGGTCAGAGCCAGTTTCAGTAAGGTCAGGCTCAGTCTGAGCCAATCCTAAGCCAAGACAAGCTAGACCGACCAGTGTGGGAGGCTGGTCCAGACACAAGAACCACCACTCCCAAGCCAATTTATCTAGCTGCAGCAAAACCTACATAAATAGGGAATACCATACCTTAAACCACCAGTACACGGCCCCAGCCCTGCAGCAAAACAAACTTGTCACCACAAGGAAATCTCGGGGCTCGGGGGAGGCCAGGTAGAGCGACGGGAAAAAGAGCTTGTGGGCCCACTGGAAAAGGACGCTGGACTACAAGTCCTCGTACTGGTTTGTCTCCATATGTGAAAACAAAGGCCGGGACGAAAGAAAACTAAAGATGAAAAAAAAAAAAAACATAAAAAAGAATGCTGGCACCTGTTGAAACAGGTGCCTGCCTCGTTTCTGGAGGCCGACAGGTCTCCAGAAACGAGTCAGGCGCCTGTTTCCACCGACACCAGCTATATCAACGGGAGACACTTGCTTACCACTTTCTTTTGTTTGTTTTGCTGAATTTGAACCCCTTTTGAGGAAAGGTACAGGTGCAGTTAGAGAAGAGCAAGCCCTGCCTCTTTGGCAGATTCAGATCCCCGCCCGACTTCCTTTTTTTTTTTTTTTTTTTTTTTTTTTCATTGCTGCAAACTCATGGTAGAACTTTACTAAATGTATCTGGCTGCAATTACAGCCAGACGTTTGGCGCCCAGCCTACTCTGCCCGACTATCCTACCTACAGCTGGTTCACAGAACAGGCTCACTTCGACTCTCGAAGACCAATGTACACGACTGTCAACACCATAGCCGACCTCTCTTCATGCACCACGTACGTATCTCGTCACCCTCAATCAGACCTTGATCACCCACACTCGCCTCCTTCCCTGAAGACCACCTGATCGCCCTCCTTACACCCTGGCGCCTAGCAGCTTGACTATGGCTGCCTACGCCCCGCTGCCCTGCAGCGCCCCACCTCACCACTACGCGCCCCGTCAGCGCCTTTGGCAGCAGCGCAGGATCAAGCGAGAGCGCAGCAGCACTTCCACATTGCCTGCACTGGCCAGAATGCCTGGCCTGGGCTGCCTCACTTCTTTTATGGAAGTGGCAGCCTCCTGGATGCTGTGGGTGGACTGGCTGGAAGCTTCCAGTAGCTTCCGGTTGGGCCTCAGACCCTGTGCCCAGGCCCGAGACTACAGTTGAGGGCCTAGGCCCTTTTCAGTTGGGCACGGCCTGAGTCTCCGGACTTGGGCTGTTTGCTGCATCTGTGCAGGGCTCCCAGGCAGGTGGGTCGGCAGTACTGCTTTTCCAAAGGCCGATGGCCTGCTTCCCAATGTATTGGCCCTGCTTTGTGTGCGAGAGCCTGAAGACCCACATATGGAAATGTCGAATTTTGGCCACAATCTGGCGTGCTGTGAGAGCCTTCACTTAGGGCGGGCACTCGGCTTGCTGGGGGCCTTAGCCCAGAACATGTGATGTCTGATAGGGCCCCTTGAGGGCTTGTTCCTCACATTCCATCCCCCTTAGCTTCGGAAGTCCGCTGAGATGCTTCATGCTGGTGCCTTCCCCTTCAGTTTCTTCTCATAACCTGCCACGATCTGAGAAGCTGTCTTGACAAGTTCCTCCCTTGAAATCCATCGATCTTCCTTAGGATCCGTATGATGCCTGAAATGCACTTTGTACTCCCTTGCCGGTTTAGGAGGTTTTCCCCTGCCAGGTGGCTTGGGAACAGGCGTGTCTCTGTGATCCAGGATGTCGTCGACGTCCACGTGGCCATCCATGGTTGGGGGCAGCATAGATCTCCGTGATGGGAACTGTGCTGTCTCAGCGAAAGGTGCAAGCTTGGAGGCGTGAAAAACAGGGTAAGTGCGTAAGTGACCAGGGATACGAATGACGTACGATGGACCATCCAAATCATTCCCCACAATATCCAAGACTTCCCAGGGACCGAAATACTGAGGCATTAGTTTCCTAGAGATGCCAAACTCTTGTCCCAACTCACTAGCCTTGACCCAGACACGTTCCCCTACCTGAAATGTGGATTGTCGGTGTTTCTTATTCTCAGAAGCAATCATTGCTTCCTGAGATGTCTTGATGTGTTCGACAGTTTGCTGCAACAATTTCTCGTATTGGACACCAAATTCAATGGTTCCAAGAGTTGCAACAGTTTGGTTCTTAGGCAGGAGGAAGTCTAGAGTAGATCTAGGCTTCCATCCCAGATGCAGCTGATTTGGGGTGACCCCGGTGGTGCTGTGTACAGCGTTATTGTACAGACTGGCGATGAGAGGTAATTTCTTATCCCAGTCATCTTGGTTGGGCTTGATGTAATGCCTCAGCAGATGCTGCACCACACATTTCATCTGTTCAACCTGCCCATTTGCTTCAAGATGATTCCTAGAAGTAATCTGAAGCTGGCTGCCCATCTGTTCAGCGGCCTTCTTCCACATCTCGTTCGTGAATCGCACATCTCTATCACTAACGATTGTCTTTGGTAGCCCGAAATCACGCGAATCTAACATGTTAGGCCACCAGAATCGTTGTACTAAATTAGCACTAGTCTTCTTGTAGCCAAATTGTCCTGTTGCGTCGTGACACTCACCTAAAAATAAACTACGCAAAATCTCCCTCGATGGAACAACTAACCTTTTAAACCCTGCCTTTTCAAGCCTTTTCAAGAATGAGTAACCCATCCACCATCACAAACTCGTCAGAGGTGGCCTTGTCTTTGGCCTGCAGTTTGTTGATGATGTCCATCGTGATGGGATCTTCCTTGTAGGCTTCCCCCAAAGATCGAGTCACGTCCTCACATAAGCCAAACTCAGAAATCAGCGCACCTAGGTAATCTGCCCTTCAAGACAACGCATCCGCACCCTTGTTGTACTCTCCCTTCACATAGTCTAGTTTGAAGTCATACTGATCTACGACTTCAATCTAGCGTTTGAGTGCATCGGAGAGAACTGGTTGGGTCTTGATCCACTTGAGGGTCTGATGGTCAGTTCTCAAGTAGAAGAACCTTCCTAACAGATAGTGCCTCCTGTGGACGAGTGCCTTGCAGAGAGCATAGGTGGACTTCGCCAACTTCTTTGATGGCATCTTTTTGCTCATGTACTCGATCGGTCTCAACCTTTTCCCTTCCTACCGAGCCAGCACTGCGCCAATGTCGTATTGGCTTGCGTTAGTGGTTACAACAAATGGGCTTTGCGGGTCGGGTACCATGAGAACCTCATGGTGCGTGAGAGCATGTTTCAAACACTTGAAAGCTGCCTCACACTCGTCGGTCCAGTCCCATGGTGTGTCAAGTCGAGTTAGATCGGTCAAGGGAGATGTAATCGTACGATAATTATTTACGAAATTGCGATAATATCCACACATTCCCAAGAATGATCTGACCTCAGTCACAGACTGGGGTCGTGGCCAGTCCCTAATGCTAGCTACCTTTGTATCTTTGGGCCTAATCCCATCCGCGGATACTTCATGACCCAAGTACAAGATTCGAGTGCGACCGAACTCGCATTTCTCTAGGTTTATCTTATACTTGTGCTGCCGAAGGAAGGAAAGTACCTTGTCTACATGCTAAGCATGCTCCTCGACAGTCTTACTAAAGATAAGTATGTCGTCGAGGTACACGACAATGAACTTATTCAAGTAGTCATGGAAGATCCTATTCATGGTGTGTTGGAATGTACCCGACGCATTGCAAAGGCCAAAGGGCATCACCACAAACTCGTACAAACCGTACCAGGTCTGGAATGCGGTTTTGTGCTGGTCCTCTGGTCTTATGGCAATCTGATGGTAGCCGGATTTTAAGTCTATCTTGGTATAGTGCTTACACCCCTGCACCCTATCCAATAGGTCGTTGATGCGTGGTAGAGGTTCTGCGTTCGTAATGGTGATGGCATTGAGGCCTCTATAATCAATGCACATCCTTAGCGTTCCCCCTTTCTTGAGCTCTTTAAGTTGTCGCCGAAGCTCGCCCAACTCGGTCGGAGCCATCCTATAGATTATTCCCTTAGGTGTCTTGCTACCTGGGATGATCTCTATAGCATGGACAACCTCCCTGTCTACGACTCCTGTAGGCTCCTCAAACAGATCGGGGTACTTGGCAACTATTGTCTTTATCTCTGGGGGTGTTTTAACGGCCTCCCCTTTTGCAGAGACATAGACTACGTATATTACTTCCTCTTGGTTCTGTTTATAATAGTTATAGAAGGTTGATGCGCATAAGCACCCATAGGAGTCTATTAACCTACTGACTTTATACTTAGCAAGTCTACGGTCCTCCCATTAGGCAACTCGTGCTTCAACACCTTCTTGTCCCAGTCAAACTGGGGCTTGGCAACCTCGAGGTAGTACATGCCCAACAACATGTCAAAGGGCAAATCGTCGCTCACCAGGAATGATATCTTATGGCTTATCTCTCCACCTGGGTAGGAGAAGGTGCAGACCACGTCTTTAACGTAGTCCTCCACCATCATGTGCTCTTTGTTGGCCAAAGTAGATGCTACGGTCTACTAAGGCACTGCACCCGGTTCTTTAGGCACAGTCTATCAACGCAGTTGCGACTTATGAAGTTTCGCGTGGAGCCAATGTCTAGGAAGGCGCCGCACTTGCGACCACCCACACCAGCTTCCACAATGAAGTGCTCCCCTCTAGGACCTCTAGTTAGTGCCACCCAGGACTCACGAGGGTCCCTTGCCGACCACTCACCTTGAAGGTCCTCTAAGGCTTCAGACACATCCAGCGTACAGAGTATAGTTGGGTCCGGATGTGTCTGCGGGGTGACTAAGGAGTCAATAGCTTTGGCCAACTCTTGAAACGGGGAGGGTACATCACCCGCTTCAACGAGAGTAGAAGCAGCTACAACTTCCACTGGCCCTAAGTGTTTCCCGAGCTCGAGCTCGTAGAGGCCCCGGACTGAGAAGAAGGATA